AGATTTCTTCTTACAAAATCATTAATTAAATGAGAATAATATGATAAATTCAAAATTTTTAAAAATGTCATTAGTTAATTCAAATATTAAAAAATAAAATTATTAATTAAATAAGGATAATATAGTAAATTCATTTTTTTTTTCATATTAAAAAATTTTAAAATTAAAATTAAAAACAAAATCAGATAATAGATTATAAAATCTAACTACCAATATTATTTTTTTTTAATTTTAAAAATAAAATAAAACCAATTAGTACATGCTTTAAGTGTATGAAAATATAAAATATAACCCAAATATAAACACGTGCCCAACCACTTGCTCCCGCCTCCACACCAAATATTTTGCACAGATATATTTATATATATAGTGTACAGTAACAAGTCTTCTCATAGGTGCTTTATCACACAACCCGAGATGTCGTCTTTTTTTAAACGCTTTTTCAGCAAACCCCCAGTGACCAGAAGAACATTGGAGAGGGCGAGAGATGGGTATAGTACTGAGGATGCCGCTGTAGGCACCGTGAAGGCAATATTTACTGTGGTTCATGCTGGACCAGCTGGCGCTGCTAGGGCTGCTTTGCAGTCTTTTACGCTCGACTCGGACGTGGCTGTCCTGAAGCAGAAGGTGAACAAGCTGGAGGAGTCTCTGAAGGCGAACGGCATCGAGATGCAAGAGATGAAAATGGCAAGCGCCCAAGATACTTTGAAGACGCAAGCTGTATGTTTTTCTTTTTCGTTTTTTCTTTTTTTCTTTTTTATATTTTATTTTGGTTGATACTTCCTTTTTTTAGGCGATGGAGATAATGGTTCAGAGGTTTAAAGCGATGGAGGAGGATCTACTGCAATTGAAGAAGCAGGTGGCCAAGACGGAGGAGAAGAAAACCGGCAAAAAGTGATTAGTTAGGGTTTAGATTCGATTTAGGATTTATATGGACTGAGGAGCAAGATCCTTTTTGTGTAATGCTATGGACTATTTTTTTAATTAAGTAATAGCCACTTGGATATTTTGATTGGTTTGGTGTTCTGCAAATGTTTGATTCATCAGTTTTATGTGGGTTTTTCGGGGCAACGTTGTGCAGTTTTATGCAGTTTTGTGCAGTTTTGTGCATTTTCGTGCAGGAAATTGCAGATCGGAGCAACGTTCGGAGCTTCTGGGCTGCTACACCCGCGGCGACAAATTACCAGAGAAGTTATTCACCGAGCCCAGCAGTCAGCGGTGAGGTCATGAAGAGGAGTGTGGTTTCCAAAAAGGGTCCATGCTGGTCGGCGCTAAATCTCACTGGGATGGCGACGTGGGGTAAGCGCCGGATGAGCCTTCACCGAGCTCTGGCACTGACGAACAAGAAGAGAAGGGGAAGGAGCTAACAGAGCTAGAGGACAATGGTGATGGTTTCTATGTGGGTGATGAGGAGGAAAAATATGGTGAGAAAGCAATAACTGTGATAGAGGAAGATGATGATATTCAAGAAGAAGATGTGAAAACAGAGGACGAGGCTCCTCCTGTTGTGCCCTGGAAGATGAACCTTAGGAGTAAGACGAGGAAGCGCCAAGATCACCATACAAGGCCCAAGAAAACCACAAAGAAATCAAAATCTATAACAACAAGTCAAAAGCAGAATCAAGTTGTAGCAGTTCCCGATCGGAGTAACAAGAAATTGGTAAAACACACAGTGGCAAGATGGTCTGCAGGGAGGTGAGGACTCTGTTCTTAATTAGTTATATTAGTGATTATGATCTTTGTTTAAGAAGTCGGGTTTTGTTAATATGTGTTCATGCTTTGATTTGGGTTTAAGGTACAAGGCTGCAGAAGAAAACATGCTGAGGGTGATGAAGGCCAAGGGTGCTAAATTTGGGAGCCCAATACTGAGGCCAGCGCTGAGGTCTGAGGCAAGGAAGCTGATTGGGGATACGGGTTTGTTGGACCATTTGCTCAAACACATGGCGGGCAGGGTCGCGCCAGGTGGAACCGAGAGGTTTAGGCGGCGCCACAATGCAGATGGAGCCATGGAGTATTGGCTGGAGAGTGCTGATCTGTTTGATATCAGAAAACAAGCTGGGGTTCAAGACCCTTATTGGACCCCACCACCTGGGTGGGAGCCTGGTCATGATCCCACTCGAGACCCCATTTGTGTAAAAGAGATTCATGAGCTTAAGGAAGAGATAACCAAGATAAAAAGGTGAACAATAAACCCAGTTAATGTTATTCATCTTTGATGTCCTCTGTGTTTAATGTATAATGTGTATGTGAGTCCCTTAATCTAGCTCTCTGCTTTTCTTCTTTTTCTTTTGGCAAATTAATCTAGCTCTCTGTTTAAGCTGGTTGTTGTATATTTCTTGGTGGATATACAGGGTGCTTCTTCATGTGTCCAAGAATAAAGAGGATAATCTAGCTCTAGTGACCACGTCAAATTCCTGTTTGACAAGTCTTGACTGGGAACATGATGGTTCATTAATCCACCAAAAGGTGAACCTTTCAATTTGGACATTTCATTTTAATTTGTTTATATTGATTATGGCTGCTTTAATTAACTGCTACTAATTGTTCGATGTGATTTTGCAGGAGTATGCAGTACTGCTAACAATGCAGCAAAATAAGATTAGAGAACAACTTACGGAAATGTCTCAATCTCTGTCTCGAATGGAGGTACACCAGATCATGATATTAATTAATTATCCCTTTATATCTCTAATCGCACACTTAATGTAATCTAAACATATAATTAATTACTTTCTTACTGCCTTCAGTATATTGGTCACTTTCAATTATTTATCAACTTTGGCTGCTTTAAATATAATATTATGTTCAAAAAGTTTGGACCTTTTAATTTTTATTAATTTGTTTCATGGTTCAACTTGATTATGGCTGCTTTAAATAATATTAAGTGCTACGTACTAATTGTCGTTTGTTGGGATTTTGCAGGAGGAGCATGCAGAGCAAATCGTTAAGAAAACTAAGATGGAAGAACAACTAATGGATATGCAGGCCACAAGGGTCCTTTCTGTGGCCAAACGTGGGCATCTCTACCCCACCCTCAGCCACCCACCTCATACCTATACCTCCTTAGCCTCAGCCTGGATCTCCTGTCAAGCCTGTAGCCTAGCTATAAACCCTCTGCCTCTCCTCCTATTTTTCTTCCACCTGGGCCCCCCTCCAAGTCCAAGAGAAGTGTCACCGTCACCAACACCCTCCTCATCAACCTTAATGAGCTCCCCAACCCTAACCCTAGTATAACCTCCAAAACGCCTCTGAAACTAGCACTGCATTGTCTAACACCCTTCATCCACTTGGAATTGGTGCTGCATCCACGTGTGAGTACTATGATGTCTCAGCCCTTGTTGTGAATTATTAATTTCATCTATTTTTATTTTCAATTTTTTATTTATATATGGTACTAATAATTAAGAAGAAAATTAATTACCCCCTTTTCATTATAAGATACAATTATTTGTTACAGTATTTCATTTATACCAAGATTGAATAAGAATCGAGAAAACCTTATTATTAAATTTGAATTCTCTCTCAAAACTTTTTCCATTCAAATGGAGCCTAATTTTCTTGAGTAAAGAATTCATAAGCGGCATGGTTAATTGTGAGTCTATTATGGCAGATGCATGGTCAACATACCAATGTCTTTCTTTTTGTTGAAGTATAGAAATTGAAGAGTATTTCACTACAAGTTTCTTTTACCAAGTGTGCTAAGGTTGAGGCTTGGTTTGCTTGGGAACCTCCTCCTGCTGGGGTCTTTAAACTGAATGTTGATGGCTCTAGGAAAGTTGCTTCTGGCCATATTGGTGCTGGAGGTGTGTTGTGTGATGTTTTTGGTGATTGGTGTAGTGGGTTTGCTGTTAATTTGGGTAAAGGGCAGATTCTAGAGGCTGAATTATGAGGTCTGTTCTTTGGTCTGAGGATGGCTGTTGCGAAAGGGTTTAATAACCTTATCGTTGAGATGGATTCGGCTGTTGCTATCCAGCTTGTTCAGCAGCATGATTCTCTTACTTTGCACCCTCTTGCATCTCTGGTCTCTAGCTGTTGGCAGTTAATGCAGCAGCTTGAGAAGTGCAGCCTGCATCATATTTTTAGGGAGAAAAACAGTGCTGTAGATCGTCTGGCTGCTTGGAGTTATAACTTAGATCTTGGTATCTGCGTTTTTGATGAGGCTCCAAGTTGGATTGGGACTTCTTTGGTGGATGATTTGTTAGGGATGTCTAGGCCCCGGTTGATTTGTGTTGGTTAGTTTGTTTTGTTTGTTTGGGGTTTTCCCCCCCATTTCACCAACAAAAAAAAAGGGCGTAGGCCTAGTCAAGAACAGTGACTTCACTGCAATGGCTGACAATGGAATCGGATCTGGCGCACCTGATGACTGCCCAAAACTCACCATGTATCCACGAGTCTTCAACAGAGTATGCAATTTTCTCACCTACAAAAGAAGGTGACCCTTAAATTAGTCTTACCTGCTGTCGTGATCTATCACCTCTGAGGATGTAGAAATTTAGGAGACATGAAAATATTATAGACAGTTGCATTACGCCATTACACATCTGAAGAAAGAAATAGAGCTGGATTTTTTATTTTATTTTTTTTGCCGCGGTGATTTTCTTGGCATTACGATCAACAAACATAAGTATAACCTTTCATCTTTTTCAATTTAACAATTTTCATTCATGAAATATTAGATCATGGAAAGAACCATCCCCTCGTGTTTTTCATCTAGGCCGACAACCAATGTCTCAAATCAGGAGAAGATATGTGGTAGTTTATACAGTGCCATAATTCCAACTTAGCAAACCCAAAAAATTAAAATTAAAATTAAAAAAAATAAATAAATAATATATAATCCAAGATTGCAACTTTGTTTCTTGCTGAGATGAATTAGAGTTCAAAAGAACTGTAAAAAAATAAAAATTACTTGTATATAAGTAGGTCCTCATTTAAATTAAAATTTGTAAATTAATGATACCACAAGAAAATTAAGACTGCCTAATGATGCAAGGAAGGGGTCGAATGATACTTTACACAAGTGCAATTTCGAGATTTTCACGTGGGAAAGTAGGAAAAGTTCATCTGAGTCAATCTGTTTGGTAAGGCTGAAGAAGTGTGTTCACTGCATGGGTTTTGAGAGATTACGATTTGGTTTCATGGATTCGGATTAAGAAAATTAGGGTTAGAGCAGTGTGGTTGATGGAGCCTAACCCTAATTATATTGCAGGGTTTACAGTCATGAATGGGTGGGAAGACTTTGCTATTTACAACTAGAACGAAAGTCTATAGTTATAATATGATGGGTCGAAGTGAACAGATTGAACAAGTTTGTGAGCATCAATGTCAATATGGTAATTCGAACTTTTCTGAGCATCAGGGGTAATTCGGACTTCTCCTAGCTTGATACTTGCAGCATTCTCCTCCTGCCCAAACATGTCCAACGAGTCGGGAGCCATAAGGTCCTGGTCAAGTTCCTTGCATGCTGCAAGTACCAAGCTAGGAGAAGTAAAAGACCTTTCGATCCCCAACATTGTTTTCGATGATTTCCCACCCGAGATGATCTTGAAACACTTAAAAGCTCGTCGGAGTTGCAAGTTCTTGGGAGCTTGTCTTGTGTAACTACTACTATTTGGTATGTCGGTGACTTTGCTTTAAGAAAGGGAACTATTGCTGATTTACTGGGACACAAATACCCAACAGACATGCAGATCCTTTTTCTTCAATAAATATATATTTTTTTAATTGTTGAATATCCAAAAAGTTACTTCTTTGTACAATGCGCTAGTCGAACACAGACCTAGTCTATACTGCCAGCTAAAACCACCGTAAACTCAGTATAAACTAATATTATTAGGAAATTTACATAGTCCAATGGTGATGTACTAACAACTCCTAAAGTAAAAAATAATGCAAAAACCAATCACAAGTCCAATTTGTATTAAAACCTATTTGTTTCCTATAATTTGTCTAACACAGGAATAATTTGCTAATGAAAAAACAAATGGTGCTATTTTCTTTCTTTCTACAATTCAGTTCTTCTTCAAAAAATCAGCCCATGTATTTTGACCTACTGATATGATTTACACATTCATATGGTTAGAGGGAGTAATAGAAAACTTTATATGTAACTTTAGCTTTAGGCTTTTCTTTTTTCAGTGAAACTTTGGCATTGTTGAACTTCAACTAAAAAGAACGAATAAAGATCACTATTTTCATCAATCAAATGTAGAAACAACAAAGATCTCACTGTTCCATTTCTTCGCCTTTTTTTTTCTCTCTCTCCCATATAACATTTGAAAAAGTGTAGTTAAAAGACATCAAAGGCATCAAATGTCAGCATAAGTATATTGAGATTCATTCCAGTTCTCATCATCTCTGCATTTGAATGGAGTCCAATTGAATCTTGTATTTTATGAGAATGAACCACTCACCAGAAAGCATGTCCCAAGCACTATAAGTTGGCTCTGGATCCAAGTTCTTCTTGGAAGGACCTTTTGATGGTTCACTCCAATATTTCCTATATGGGTCTGGCGTCTTGCCCTTCTGCCAAATTAGAACAAGGGCCATCTCCATTGCAAGGCTTTGGGTGTCCATCTGTATAAAGTTATCAACTATTTAGCATGCTTATCAAATATCCGGCTATGAATAACCAATCCATGTCTATAACACAGAAAAAGAGAGAGAGAGAGAGAGAGAGTTTCCTGCCTTGTTAAGAACCGACTTCTGGCTAACGCGGAGCAGTAGTGCAGTAATAAATTCTAGGGTCGTGTAGTTTACAGTTGGAAGCCTCCTCAGCATGTTTCTCATCGCATGTATGCTGGAACGAGCGCCTTTGATCTCATTATAAAGCTCAAATGTGGTTAGTGGCTCGGGAAGTGTAGCTAGATAACATTTGATTAGAGCTGCTACGTCAATTGGATTTATTCCCTCTGGTAATGATGCATTTGAATCTGATATACGCAATATTACAACATTAGATTAATGTCGTCCAAATTGAACAGCACAGAAAACTTTGTTCAAAAGACAGAAAT